ATGCTTATGTGTTTTTTGGGTCCCTAAATACCTGAACTGAAACCACGGCGAGGGGACTGACGCCATCGCCAGAAGTCCGGCCGGACAGTCACTTCTGAAGGTGAACGAGTCGTCCTCGCACCCGAGAAGTACGGAAGCCGTTGCAATTTGGGGGGGTTTCCGAAAATGAGGGACCCTAATATAGTACTTGTAGCCGAAATAACAGGATCCTTATTATAAGGCCCCAAAATGAGGTACCCCTAATTTTCGGAAACTCTCATGTAATGTAGTGTAACATGGAGGAACTTGCAAATAATTGCCAGGGCTAGAACATCAGCAGTCGCATGAATAGTCCTCAACGCGTAACTAACTTAGCGTCCACTTGCGCATGAACATACCTTTACACATGCAGGCATGCATGCATGGATGTACGTATGTGGACGCCGCGTGTGAACTTGTTTCTTTGTGGTCGCAGCTGCCGTCATCGACGTGCTCTACCAAAGGCAGCATGTGGTCGTGGTGGCGGTCGTCGTGGCGGTAGTGGTGATGGTGGTAGTGGTACTACTAGCAGCAGTAGCAGTAGCAGTAGCAGTACAGTAGTAGCAGCTAGCTGCGGTTGGTTGTTGAGGTAATCACTACATAGGGTCAGCGATGGCAGGAAAAGTGGTAACTAGAAGCGGGAAAGCATGCCCCAGCAAGGATCTGCAAAGTCATGACCTCGTCAGAGCTGGATCATGAACCATGAAAGACCATGGCATGGTTTGCGCATTTTGCCATATCGTTAGAAGCATCATGTTACATCATGGCGGTGTTTCGTGGCAACGGACCTCAACTAGCGCTTTAGATGCAAGGAAAGAAAAGGCACGAGCAGGAAAAAGATCAGTTCGATTGCAAGCCGAGTGAACGCGAATGCCTCACGGCTTCGGCTTAGCAGAACATAAGGTCATAGCACATAGCTCAGCCTCTACAAAGGCATGCCAGCATACCATAGATGTCATGAAATCTAGACACCCTTTCCCTCTCGCCCCGCCGCAGCGGGGTCTGAAGCGTGACTTCCGAATTCACGAAACAAGCAAATATGGGGCGCACACGTCCAGCACCCAATGACAAACGTACAAACTATGGAAGCCACTACCCACACAATGTGACCGTGTCATGCCACGGCGTAAACATAGCCAATGTCAAGATGAGGGAAGATACATGTGCCCACAGTGATGAACTGCAGCAACTTATACACAGACACTCGGTGTTCATTTCATGAGCTATTCGTTGCATTTGCTCAGCGGTTCGTAGCTTTCATGGCAGCTTTGATTGCTCGTCCTGCGGATCCACGGAGACCACTCGGAAGATAACTGGGTATGACGTACCTGGAAGCCGGGACTTCAAATGCGCAGTTCTTTTTGCATCTCCCTAAATCTGTAATATTTCATAGCATACACAACAGATAATCAAACAATATCACTGTTGACCTGACTTGTGTCAGGCTCGATCCTGCAGGGCAGGAGTTTCAGCACGTCAGGACTGCTTCTTGAAACGGAGCGCAAGGAGGACTTTCGGACCGTCCGAGACGGTCCGAAAGTCAGTGACTGCTCCTTCCCGGAAGGATGGTGTCATGTGCAGAAATGCGACGAAGCTCTGTCTGGATCATTCAGTGATCGGATGCTGGGAAGCATACCATGTATCGATCGGAGGAAGATGCTACTACTTTGCAGTTTCCTCTGACCAAAACAGGACCGCACGAGCTGCAGCAGTATCGACACAAGTTGACAACATGACACACACACACACACACTTTCTCGGCAAAGAAGATGATAATCAATCCTACGGTGGATGAACAAAATCCTGCATTACCTTAAGTATGGTATGGTACCATAAATGCAGGATTTTGTCTATCAACCCATAGCTCTCCACTTTGTGACAGAGGGCCGCAAAGACGATGCACCCAGTCGCCCGTGAAGCTGGGGTCCTCGGCGAGGTTCCTGCCAGCTTCTTCCCAAGTGGGAGTTTCCGAAACTAGGGGACCCTAAATAGTAGAATCCTTATTATAAGGACCCCCAAGTAAGGTACCCCTAATTTTCGGAAACCCCCAAGTTTGAGCAGAGACCAACACCCGGCCCCAAACACGACCGTGGCATGTGGACTTAAACAAAAGCGACAGTGACACCAAACCGCAGGCGTCCCAAATCTGGGCACCCGCTCGGCATCAACTGTTGCTTTGATGGATTCTTGCCCAACATCCGCAAACGGATGGTGGTGTGACCTCTGATTGTCAAGCGGCTTGGTCAGTACCAGAGTTTGAGGCAAGGCCCCCTTCACAAAAGACATTCCATACTGTTCAGGGTCATCAGCAACATGTATACGTCGGTCCAATCTGACAAACCACACACCAACCTATAACACCCGAATCCCACTTCCCATTTTCAATATATCTTTGTGGCATCACTGGTTAGATGCAAGGACATTTTGTTACATGCACCGACTTGCCACTGCTGCACTGATTGTTGTGGAACTCGCCCCAGAAAAATTCAAATGCAGCTAAGTCCGAGCCCTTCCCCTCGTCCTCTGCAGATCCACGTAGAAACTCAGCCAGATTGACCTTGCGGCAGGCAGCTTCTGACTTCTGAATGCTCATCCTTGCTTTCAGTGCCTTAACTTGGAGACCTTGGAAGCCTGTGTCGCACACTCGAAGCCCTCCAGGACCCTGGGATTTGATAGTTCCCGCTCCGGTCAAGAATTCAGATCATACTTAGAACTGAACGGAACCCCGCAGCGTGGCCATCCGCGCCTGTGCCGGCTCTCACCACAGAAGCATTCTTTGAGAGAGCGATCGGCGTCAAAGTTTTTCCTGAGCCAAGACAACGGACAGCATTCTGCAGGATCGTGGTGCAACATGAATACCCTCAATTTCTGCAACGGCATGGAACTGTAAACGGCGCGCACGCACAAACACACACACACACATACACACACACACACACACACACAGACACATTTGGTGGCGGCCGGGCGCTTCAACAATAAACGGCCTAATGCGTGTGTCGATTCAGAGTTGGCCTTCAACAAAGGCAGACCAGCAGAGCAACCGACATGTACGATGAGCCCTGGAGATCTGTGCACCCCTGCTCTCAACGAGCCTCTTGCACACTCCTTTCGGCTCAATTGGTAGTCGTATGACTACGTTGACAACCCCATTCTTTTGCCATCTGCCTTCACTGGTTCCCATGTCACTACCTTAGGCATGAAGGGAGCAGCAGTCGTATAGTTCTAATTTTTGCTCCTCCCCCAAAAATTTGGCAACCCTGGGCTGGCTGCCATGTAGCAGGTGCCCTCAATGACTCAAGCTGAAAGCCATCGAAAAGACACCCCCTGCATGTTGTCAAAGTTGCTGGCTCACATAAGCCGGATCGTATTCAGTTGGATCCACCTGGACATACCTGCATACAGCATGTAAGACTACGTGTCAAACACTGATACCGATCTCCTTGCACATGCACTCAGTACATGCAGCGATGAACGACTGCCCTGATGTAAGCATGCACAAGTACATGTACATGCGTATTCAGAGGGTTATGGGGCTTGGCTTAACATTCAGAGATGTACATCTCATGTTGTCTGCTTTTAGGCAGGTAGGTATTCTGGTATATGTCCGGTAGGGTTGGAGTGGTAAGTATAGGTAGCAAATATTTGTGTATTGGGCTGTGCATAAAACTTAGTGTCATTGAGTGACGACTTCATCTGCCTCGTGGCCACGCTTGCGCATGCACAGGAGATTCTTCAGACGTACATCTTGTATGGTCGTACGTTAAAGTCCAGACCACGAGCTTTTTCAATGCTGTTTCAGGAGAGTACCATACGGCCACAGGCCTCTCTGTCGCCACAAGTCCCAAGAAACCGGGGGTTTGGATCAACCCCTCCATGCAATACATGTTGGACCCATGTGCATGCCGGTATATCTCAGATTCGTCACTTACTTGCTCAAGCCAGCCAACCATCCCACTCAGCCCCTTTCCAAAACTTGGTCCCAAGGCACCCAAACGAGGGGTGGTACTTTGGCTCTGCCGACCGCTCCAGCGATGCACCACCGCAAAGGCTCCAGCAAAGCAAAGCGCCGAAGAGCCATCGCAGGGCCATTGCGGCTGCTCACCGGGCTTATAAGTTACATACCATAGTTTCTAAGCTACTATAAGTACATCAGTATAAGCATGACATGTATATGGTTACCATACAGACTTTTCATCCTGGAGGGTTCGAGGTCAGTGGGCTCAGGGACTGGCTGGGATGTGTCGGATATAGATTATATAGATTATACAGATTAAAAAAGATTATATAGGTTATATAGATTAAAAAAGATTATATAGATTATATAGATTTTGGAAAATCACTCCATGGTCCGTGTTTGGTTCTCTAGACTGCATGCTGTGGTTTTATGCGCACTAAATCTGACTGGGCCCAATCCAGAGGGCAGTTTCGAGTGGAGGATCTCTATGATCATAATACATAACATAGAATAGATGTATATGGATATGTATGTATATCTATATGTATGTATGTATGTATATATATATATATATATAGTCGTAAATATTCATCATAGTGAAATACATATGTATATAATATGCTTGCTTGGGGATCCTGGTTCTGGGCTTTGGATGCTTTGTGGCCCAAGCTACCTCCGCAGATCTCCAGCCGGATGTTAGAGGCAGAGTAACTGCCACGCACTCAATCTAATAGGGTTTAGGGTTCCTTTAAAGGGGTCTGCAAAGGATACTACAAGGGATCTACAGGGGTAATCTACTGTAGGGGCCTTCATAAATCGAATATGGTTTTGGGGCTCATGATACTATTATAATATAGTTGTAATAAGGAACCCCCAAAATCATATAGGTAATCATTTAGGCCCCTGTGGTAGCAGGTTCCGAAACACGCATGCGCAATGCTGAGACAGCAACCATCTCGAAGTGCAGACACGCACTCAACGCACTGCACAAAAGAACTCGAAGATGTCAGCCCTGCACCGCCTTCTATTCAGTCCGAAGTGAAGAATGACATTCCTCCAAGCAACGCTGCTTGAACTCCACAGCAGCTGTCTCGTTCTTCGGGGCTGTGAGGTACGAAGGGCACACCCAACTGTCCACAAAGGTCATCTCCTTAACAAACGAGTTGGAGCGGGATCTTTATCTTTCACCTCCTGAAACGCACAAGGTCTGCTGAATAGTTGTCTGAGCGGCTTCATGCACCTAATATCAGCTAATCACCCAGTTGCACGCGAAAACTGTCCATGAGACCTGTTTTGCAGCTGGGGCACATCCTGCGTGATGCTGCCTCAAGCGAAACCACTTCTATCGGACTGTGCGTTCAGGGTGTGCTCAGTGCAGCGCCACACGGTTGCTGAGGTTTACTTTTCCCCAAGAACACAGGCCGATTAGGCACCCGTGCGAAATCTAAAGTCGAGCCTACCATATGCAAGGCATATTTGAGACTTGAAGCCTCACAGAGCCCCTGAATCCAAGCCGACTGCCAGACGGGTGCTTTGCATTTGTACGCCAACACATCACCGAAACTCAAACGGGCCTGTGGCGTGAAAGTCCAGGCCACGAAAGAGCTGCCGAGTGGCCTGGCTTGGGGTGCGAGAGGTTTTATGAAGGCTTAAAATTTGAAACTGGGGCGTTTGTTTTGGGATGTGAGTATAGGGTCTCGCAACTTGTAGGGCGATATTCTGAGGTTTCAAAGATGTACTGCTGATGACTGCCACGACAGCAGAGGCCCTCTCGGACAGCATCTTGGCGCAATGCTAGTGATGCAGAAATAGGATAGTGAGGCTGCTGGCCTGGAAGCCATACTTCTGGCACTCCTCGATGAAGTCCTGCTCAGATAACCTTCCGGACCTCGCTAGCAGGTTCTTCGGCGGCATGATTTCTTGCGCTTCTATGTGGCTACAACCTCCTATACCTGATAACTTTGAGCCAATCATGAAGCATGCAGCAACCCAGAAATATCTGAAGTCGTGCATGCACTCCATTGTCGTGATATGGCTGTGCAACATAAGTTCGAGATGCTTAGGAGAAATGCCACTAGCCCTCTCCACTGAGCTTGCAGCAAAGTAACCCCATCCGAGCTTTGTCCATGGCATGGAAGGCATTCACAGCCTTGCAAAGCGCCGCAGTCGACGAATGAAGCTGTGAAACAGGATTTGGGTGTCGGCGCTCGCACTAGGGCGGTTTAAGGGTTTAGGGAGGAGTCGGGATCCCTTGTTAGCGGTCTGCCTGCCTGTGGCCCTTCAAGAAAGCACTTTCACCCCCAAAGCCCTACTACTTGTACTGACTACTACTACTACTACTACTACTACTACTACTACTACTACTACTACTACTACTACTACTACTACTACTACTTCGCAGTCTTCCAAACTCAAGGCTTGCCAGGCGTCGCTGCCAAACTGCGTTGCCGTGAACGATTTGAACTCCTGAGTTCCGCTGTCTTGACAGGACCATGGACTGCACACTGGCAGTGTGGAGTTTAACGCCACATTTGCCGCTGAAACCAGATTTCATCGGTGCGCTCTCTCTCTCTCTCTCTCTCTCTCTCGATGGAGGTTACTATACTACTATACTATACGATACTATACTATACCAGACTATACTACTACGATGGAATTAGGTACTCGCTCCCCTCTCTCTTACCTTTGCCACAATGGCTAGGCTCGGCCAGGACCTCGGCACCTGGCAAGTCGAGCTCCTGAGCCGGCCAGAGCTGCCACGGAGCTTGTGGGAAATGTCGGAAAAATCAGGGACAATGACGCAAACAGCACACTTCTATGCTCGATGAGAATAACCATGAGGTGGTGGCGGTGATGGTCAAGTTCTTTCCTGTTCCCATGTGGATGTATATACACCGGTCTCCTCTATATGTAAGGTCCCCTACGGTACACGCATGAGAGGGCATCGGGCCTCCTCATATCGGCTCTGTGTTTAGCACTGCTATGGTCGGCTGAAGGTTCAAGACAAAGGGGTCTGGGAGCAGTGTGTCATTTGTGTCGACTTTGGGGCCTCGACATCTTGGCTGCTTTCGGTCGTGTTGGGATGGGACCTATGGAAACCGACAGCACGCACTGCCTAGGCTCGCCCTCTTCAGATGCAGGAGGCGACCTCAGACGTCTGAAGACCAGGCGTCCCCGAAAAGAGCCAAATCGCAGATCAGAACGGGCCCCATACCTCTTGTGCCCACAACCCTTAACACTCGAGTCCTGGTAGGAGACGAGACCGCTCTTGTCCTGTGCCGCAGAGTGAGGCATGCACCGAATACCATACATGTAAGTGTGTGTATACATATATATATATATACATACATATGTATACATATACATACTTACTGTACGTATTATTTATATACATATATGATAGAAACTACTCAGTCAACAGTCAACCTATATCCTGGGTACCAATACATCGAAAAGCGAGCTAACTCAACGAAGATCTCCCTTGTGTTCAGCAGTATCCTTTTCCCCGTCCAGGGATGTCCAACAAGAAAACGTGACTGCTGAATGACCGAAAACAAATGGTTCACATGACATGCAGATGTTTATGCAAATCCTGAACATCTCGCACGTCCAGAATCATGCGTTCTGATTGTTGAGATATTCAGAAACTCGCAAGCCACGACACCCAATGAGCTGGCCCTACCGGGAAACTCCACACAAAACGAGCTATAATTCGCAGGGGTCGTGCTCGTGAAGCAGCCCTGAATCCCGAAGAGTCGCGACCTTGTCCAGAGCTTTCCAGAGGATGCGGAACTCCCCGGGCCAGCAGAGAGCCTGGAAACTGCCAGGCAGCTGCTCGCAACCCCGCCCCAGAGGGGTCAAATCCCATCTAAATCCTTATTAGACTCAAGGATGCATCCAAATCCTGCGTTCTTGTAGCATTTAGAGTTTCGACTCGCACGCTCGCACGAAGCAGGCACGGATTTCAGCATGCGGGTCCACGAAGAGAAACATGATCACAGACTGGAACAGAGAGTGAAAGCAGTAGCTACTCAACAGGGTAGACCCCCAAAATGGCGTAACCACTCTTAATGGATCGGTGCGCACAAACAATCTAGACACCGCCTGTAGCCCAATTCCATCCAATCAGCACTGCCGAGCTCAGAGAGCGGATCACCACTAACTTGCCCGCAACCAAAGATAGCCAGAACGGTTTAGGGATGTCTAGGGTTTCGGAGTCTGGAGTTTTTGGGATTCTCATCAGGAAGGCATGTCACGAAGCAGAGGCCACAGTGCCTTGACCGACTTGGCAAGCTCGTATTTATGTACCTCCCGGGCACTTTGTTTCCGGGATTCCCCGGGTCGCTATTCAACTGCTGAACACTGGGTGCCTAATTACTATTTGGAGGTCCCCCATTGAAATTTCCGCAAAACGTTATAGTCTCGAATCTTGTTCCTCGACTGGCTTGGGCACATGCTGGAAGCGGAACAGTTGCAAGGTACAGATCATAGAAGCACAATTGAAGTAGAACCCAACAAGTTATTCTTCATGTCTGTTGCCAGCAAGGCTGCGTTCATCGTGGCGTGGCGGTCCAGGTGGCGCCGCCATGCAGCAAGGATGCTTCCTCCGCATTTCTTCTTCAGGAAAGCCTGCACGTACATGCTTCTACTCAGGCACATGCGGCAAATGCTGGCCTCCGGACATTTCGTGACTCACACCGATGCTCAGACAGTGTGTGAAACAAGTACAATAAGTAGAACCCAACCTTTGAAACAAACATACCGGTGAATGATTCAGTGACTCGAGGTGGGAACCACGAGCAACATGTGCATGAGACAAGTATGAAGGTGAATGAGCAGCGGGCAAACGTTTCCCTACCACTCGGGGGAAGTCTGGAAAAAAACAGCAAAAGAGTCCAAACACAATTCTCCGTCGAGAGAGCAGAGAGCCACTTGGAGTCGGACTGCAAGCTTGCAAAGAAAACGGAAAACAACGTCGACCGCGCATTCAGCACGACCACCAGCAGCTACAGGGCCCCGTCTGGACCACCTTCACAAAAAGTTCTCGCGCGTTGGACACGATGCCGCTTGCTTCAAGGACCTCAACCAGCTCTGCGCTACGGCCGATTGAACTTTGACGGCTCGGTCACTGCCCGCCTTGAAGTTCGGCAGGACCTCGGTACAAGGGGACATCCAGGTTTCCAAGTTGCTTCAGGAGGTGACCTGCCTCATCCTAAACTGTGACCGGCTTCAGCTCAGCACGACGTGTGCCAAAACCCTCCTCCATATATATATATATATATATATATTTATTTATTTATATTTCTATTTATCTATTTATTTATTTATCTATTTATTCATATATTTATGTATAATAACAATAGCAATAATAACATGATAATAATTTACAGATACATGAGCGTGCGAATCGAAACTCGGTAGCCGCGGCCGTCTTTAGGCACTTCGATATTAGCCGGCTTCAGCCTAGCCACATCTTGATGACGTCAAAAACTCTTACTGCAAATACGTTCCCTCCGCGTTGCACCGGGTTGCCGTCCATGTTCGTGTATTACAGTAGAATCGTACACTACGGTATGGTACAGTACAGGCTAAAAGGCCCCAAAGTAGCTCCTTTTTGGGGTTCATATATAGAACCCTTTAAGGCAATCCCCAAAAAGGAACTACTTTGGGGCCTCGGGGTAGTGTGATGCTCCCTTGGATCTGTCAGGCGACGATCCGTAGACTTGTTAGCCCTCCCCGCCTGCGCCAGCGCTTGGCGCTCCCGGATTTTTACAGCAAGGACTTTCATCGCCAGCTTCTTGATCTCCTTCATGGGAGGGACTTGTAACACTCTGTCTGTATGCATGCAGAGCGAGAGATACCCCCTCCCCGCCGTTGGGGACAATGGAAACAGATTTTCAGAAGGCTATGCAACACGCAGCCCGCCTGACCCACGACACGTTGAGGACTACAAGCTGTAATTGAGAAGGTTGCAAGGCGCTCTGTGTAGACCATACGGCACATGTTCCTCTCCCGAGTGTTGCAGCAGAGTGAAACGACAGCATCCGAATCACAAGCTCTTTCCTGGCATCAAGACATGGCAGTATGCGGTGTGCACTTGCAAACCGCTCAAGTTCAGTGTTGAAGGGTACGAATCTGAAACAACAAATGTTGAAACAAATCAGCTGCTGTCGATAGCTTATGAACTTGGCAGAACCCTCACAGACGGCGACCTCCTTCTCCCGGTGCTCTTCCTTCCTGGTTGGCATGCGGATGCTGGCTAGCGGCTGGGGGAAGTACGAGTGATCCCAGCTCGAGCTGGGATGATCTATGGCTATGGGTGTCCAATGATTGGGGATGTGAATGTCTGGCTGTGGCCGGTCACCCCGCGAACGGCATCACCCACCCGCGCCCCACGACACTTGCAGCCTTTGGTGAAGGACTTGGTTTAAAGCTATGGACACACAGCGCGGCATGGATAGGCAACGATGCTGTGAAGGACCAACAGAGCCTAGAACGACTCATCCGAAAGAGCTTCCCGACTATTTACCACCTTCCGACGGCACTCTGTAAAGACTATGGGAGCTTAAGCAAGTAAGGGACCCTGAGATGAAACCCGAAGTAAAAGAATTACTAGTAGTTTTTGAATTATATGTATACATATATACATAGTTACAAGTAAGAAAGAAAGAAGACCAAACAATGTAGGATCTTGTTTCAAGGATCCCCCAAGACGGGACCCCCTAGTTTTCTGAGAAGCTGATATTGTCTGCAACCGAGATTCCCAAGTGCCATCCAGCGCAGGGACTCCGGACGCACGTACTCTTCGCCGGAGAGGGAAACCCTTAGCATCTGGTGATCGATTGGGTTCCGATACTCCTTAAAATTCCTGATAATAATAATCATAAAAAAGCGGCTAGTAGAATTCTGAAAACAGTGGGGTTTGAATGACTGGTGTGGACTTGCCAGCATCGTTGGGGACACGATTTCTCGGCTTGACAGAGTCAGTGCCAAGACACCCAGACCAGAGTACATCTTCGTGTCCATCCTTGCATGTCGCTTTGCTGGGCACAGAACAGAGATCTTCGAACAATGTGCTAACCCCAAGCCGGCATCTTGCGAGTCACACCACAAGAACTCGTCGTCAACATCACAGATATCGAAGCCTACAGTGTTTGCCTGTTGCCCCTTGCCCTGCCTTCCAGTCAAACAGTTTGCACCGCTGATTGAAGTCATCCTCGCTGAGATAATCCTGAGAACTGGTTCATGGTTTAGGGATGTCCATTCTAGGAACCTGAAAGCAGTCAGTTCGCATCACTGACCACATCAAAAAGATCGTCACCACAAATAGCAGCAGCAATCCGGTGTCTCTCTGCATCATCCCAACTTTCTTGAGATCGCACGTCCTTCCCCCGGCTCAGCTTGTAGACCATGTCCAGCGGACTGTCGAAGTTCGTGACACACCACTGCCTCGGCGGTGTTCAGTCGAAGCAGCTTGATGATTCTCGCTTTGTTACTGCTACTAACGAGCAGCAGCAGCAGCAGCAGCAGGAGGAGGAGGAGGAGGAGGAGGAGGAGTAGTAGTAGGTAGTAGTAGCAGTAGACATAGAGGTAGCAGCGGGAGTAGTGGTATTCTGTTATTCTTGTGGCTCTGTTTCTTAATATTTCTATCCGACCACAGGTTCCGTGGCCGACTTTACCCAGGGCAGAGGTTGAAACTCGGGACGGTGACCTTGACTCGATTCACGTTCATCGGTGGCGTTGTGTCCTGTTTCGGAGATCTCGGCAATACGAAAAAGCCTGCAATAGGGAGACCTCCAACGAAAATGCTGCAACGGCAGAGCCACGAAGCTGAGGAGACCTGCATTGCACCACACGCTGCAAGGAACGCTAGCTTGAGACGCCGGTTTATCCGATCCTGAAATTGCAAAGAACCCTCACACAAGGTACTCCTAGGGGCACCCCGGAGTATGAAGCGACACATCCAAGCCGAGCTGCTTGAAGCAAAGCCAGAGCCGCGCAGTCTCCTTCACAAGGACCGAAAAGGCGGGCAGCGGGTTGGGTTCTGGGCCAGCCGGAGCAGTTGAAGGGATACCTGAATTGATGTTGTCATGACGGGGAGAGGGGTTTGGGATTTAATATACAGGCCTCAATAATTAGAATAGGGTTTTGGGGCCCACTATACTATAAATGTATTAAGGAACCCCCAAAATAGTATAGGTCATTACTGAGGCCCCTATACTATTCTAGTACCCTTATAGTATCCCTTATAGACCCCTTTTTTTGGATCCCTTTAAAGGAGCCCCCTATAGTATGAGAATAATCGTCGGAGGGCTTGGAACTTTCAGAATCTTTCAGAGCCGGGCTCTTACTCGAAGGTGGTTTGGGACTCGTCCTCAGGCTGAGAACGACACTTTCAGGGATCGATCTTTTTGGGGCAGGCCCCTCCGTCCTCGTCGATCTCATCTAAGGTAAGTTTGCCAGAGTTATCGACGTCCAGGCGCTGGAAGAGCAAGTAGACGTCACCGCCTCAAACCAGCAGATTCCAGGTTTTTATAGCGGTTTAGGGTTTAGGGGTTTAGGGTTTAGACTCGATGCACTGATCATTTCTGACAGAAGCTTCCGAAACTACACTTGTTGGATATCGTGCCGTCGGCATCCATCGGCTGCCAAATGTACTACACAAGCGGAGTAGGTGCGGCTCAGCACTTGTAGGATTACAGGAGTCTGATGCAACAGCAACTTTGCATTCATAATTACACCACACCGCCTTAACCTTCAAATTCTAGGGCTTGCGCTTCGGTGTGGCACAGCGAGTGGAACAGATAACAAGCTGTGCTGTGCTCTGCCACTGCCTGAGGCGGCGCCAAGCTTCTGCCGAGTGGCAGTAGCCCATCTCTTCCATGCCCATACAGAACCTGGGTTCACTGTTACCAAGATCTGTTCGTCTCAGTGGTATGTTGGCGGCAGGTAAATATGCGGGTCTGAAAGCGATTGTTATGCTGTTCTTGCAGGTAATGGCGGCTGTTGTTATCGTCTGCCTAGCCAGCATCCCTCCACCAAGCTTGCCCTACCCCATCACTTCACCGAAAAAAAGCACAACAGTGGCTCCTGGATAGGACTCGTGCCTCCTCATGGGAGAAAACACGCAGGAAGACGGATGCAAGTCCAGGTCGCAGTGTTGCAAATCTCGCGTAATTTCGACCGTCGGACTTTCTGGAACATATCGCTGGTTCAGCTGCTAGGCAGGAAGAGACAGGGGCTGAAGCAGGTCAAGCGACTGATCTGTCGTAATGTGCAGTTTGTACCTGAGCTGCAATAGCATTTTGCTGCACATTCCGGTCATGACGGCTTGGTGTCTGTAAAAGCTGCAGCTACCATCATTTCTGCTGTCACCGCTGTTGCCTACGAATGCGACGAAGATACCGACGGCAGGTCGATTGGAGAACGACGACTGCAACAGGCACAATCCGTCCTAGTCTGGCGGTCTTGACCCTGGGTATCTTCTTGATGCCCCAATCTTGCCGCTGGGGCTCTCTGGGTCGAAATTCTTGATCCAGGCCCTGAGGATCGTGGACTCCGCCTCTGCAGCACCCTTATAGATCCCTTATAGTAACCCTTATAGATCCCTTATAGTACCCTTATACTAACCAAAGGTAAGTCTCTCCGACCTCCTTCGTTGCTCAGTCCAGGAGTGCATGCTTCCCCTTGCCATTAAGAGAACAAGCTTGAAGGGATCATTACGTCTTCACCCATAGGCCCCAGAGCTGTTCCTTTCGGGGGTTCATGTTTAGAATCCTGTAAGGTAATCCCAAAAAGAAACTACTATGGGGCCTATGGGCAATTATGAACCAGAACAACCTGAAACTGCTCACGAACACCACGGCCATCCAAGGCGTCCCACTGTTGTCGGTCCCTGTGACGTTTCGAAGGGAATGAAGCTGGTGAGAGGCCTGGCTAAAGAATCAACCGACCCACAGTGAACTCATCGAGCTTTGAATACACGGTCATTGATAAATGGTGAGCACCTAGACCCCCCAAAGTAGGTAAAATAATGGCCCAAACCCTATAAAAGGCTATTATTCTACATAATTTTTGGGTCCAGGCAAAAACCACCATGAGCCTCCAACACCAAGAACGGATTGAACAACCCAGGGCCCGACACCTCTACGAACAGCTGCGATTCACGAGCTGAACCCATCACCAGCACTTTCCTTTAAGTCTCCGTCGCTACCGGGAAGAGGCCTCCGTCAGGAAGCTGCGAACAACCTAAGCTCTGATCTACCCTCACGCCGATATCTATGCATGCCAACGCTTTTGCCTATACAGTATATCTTGTACAGATACACATGCATACAAACAAACATATCTTCGTATGTATACATAAATACAACATACGTTGAAGGAGTGGGGAAGGGAGGGAGGGAGAGTCTTTACATACGGTTGATGATACAAATCCCGCATTACCTTAAGGACCCTAAACTATGGGAGTTATAGTATATTCCTTATTATGGGTAACGCAGGATTTATATCCCTAAACCCAAAACCCTACAAATTATAGGAACTATAGTATATTACTATATTACTATATTACGGTATATCATAAAATCCATACTTCTGAAACAGCCGTTCATTGTCGTGAAGCACAAATTCAGCTCTGAGTCTCAGAAACAGCGTTGGCTCTTTTTTGGGGGGGAGCCTGAATAATTGGAAAGGCATGTTGGGGTGTGTATATATATATATACATATCATAGTATAATGCAGAATAGCAATAGTAGTAATGATAAGGAACCCTCAGGAATAGTGATGGCAATTGCTGGGCTTGATTAGCTTCTAAGATCTCGGATCGACTCGCGGCATCTTTCTGGGCTGCAGGCTGCCCTCGAGAGTCGCCAAAAGCCCTGTTATGTAGGGGCCTGAATAATGTGGATAGGGTTTTGGGGTACATTATTAAAATATATAAGGAGCCCCCCAACATAGTTTAGGTTATTGTTAAGGCCTCCATAGTAATCACACACAGCGAGGGTTTCAGCACTCACTCTCGGACGAACCACAGCGAGGGTTTGAGGCTTTGCACTTGTGGGGTTGAAGGCTTGGCCTGCTTGTGTCCTTTGGAGGGTTTGGGTCAACATGGGATTTGCGAGATATTGTACATTGGTTGGTAAGGCACCAAGTCATCCCAGCATGCAAACTACCAGAAACCACAAATTCCCGAATTCCCTAACCACTAGACGGGACGTGTTGAACACCAGGGGAGGCTAAGGCAAGGAAATTCACACCCAAGGCCGCCAACTCGAAGAACCACCCACGGCAAGCCCGGTGTACGCTAGAGTGCCCACAGTGTCCAAGAAGCCATCTGGGGTGGTGGCCCCTTTCGAGGGGAGCGGTTAGAGAAGCGCCGCGCTGCCGGCACACTCGGCCTGAACCGAGCGACAGGTCGAATCAGTGAATGCTTCCCTCTATACGCGCTTAGCTTGTGCTTTGGGGTCTATACGGTTTGCTGGTGATGTGTGAACTCGCAGCTTATCCCAAGGCATTTTCCGAACGAACAATTCAGAGTGGGCTTGCTTCGTTCATGCAGTACCATTTCCGGGCAAGGCATGGGATCAGGTAGGGACGAGTGCTTCACACTTCAGGTTTCTATAACCCTGTGTTTACCATGCTCGAGTCTGGAATGACCACCAGGCAAGGCGCGCTACTGTCAGTGCTACCAATACACCTTACAGGACATACTTCCTCAAAGGACACTAATACCGGGCCGCACGTAGGAAACAATGCGAGTTCGCGCCAAACATTGTTCTTCAGGTTCTACACCTGAAAATTCAGATTGCCTGCGACCCACGCTTGCCATGGCGTCAAGCGCATGGGCGCGGCGGAATGGCCAGCGGATGAAAGCTTCGGCGAGTTTGTCTTCTCTACTGGTCAGGGCTCATGGGGTCTTGCGGAAGTCACTAGGCCCCATGCGATCCAAACCAAATTCCTCAATAGAGTGGAGAACTGCTTCACTGGGTTTGCATCGGGGAGTCCATAACCTTCTGGGCTGAGCTGCTGGGTGAGGGCAACGAGGTTTAGGAGTTTAGGGTTTCTCACTCTGCACACGGGAACAAAGACTCAAAGAAGACTAAACAGCAGCGCAGTGACGATCAGTGACGCGGATGTTACGCGGAGGACAGATTTGTTCAACAGAAACCTTGTACCTGCGTACCCAAAATACCTATCGCACGAACAGCTCATCTCACTGTCTGTGCCTGGTACGGGGAATTGCAAAGCCTGCTGTAGGCCCATTACCGCTGCCAGCTTCGACATGCTGTCGCACAAACGGCAGCCAAGAGTCGTAGAGCCGGGTGACCTCGGCAAGAAGTCGCTTGCCGCAGTGATGGACTGGAGACTTTCCTTTACTTTATGGCTCTATATGCATAGAATTTGAGGTATGCATGTATATATTAAAATGACAATCAAATTAACCAAAATCACGGTGAGCAACCTGCACCCCGGCTGACGGCAAAACTACTACAAGTTCCATGCTTGACTGCTATGCGCTGCCACCTAACTGGGCACGGTGCCGCCCCACAAACATGCTCTGCGAGATCCACAGCCTCCAGGGACACAAGCAGGCAATGCTTGAAACAATTCCCGGCCTTCAACGGGATGTACACAAAAAAGCTACATTAACCAAGGCCCCCCCTATCTATATATATATATATATATATATAGATATGTATATATATATATATACATATATACATATGTATATATATATATATACATACATATATACATATGTATTATATAACCCCACCCCAGGAACAAGGGACTTGGAACCCGACTTCAAAGGCTGTTCTTCCCCCATCCCTTCAACAAAAAGGCATTGTAGATCCCAGGTGCCCGCAAACCCGCAGGGGTCAAGCGAGCCAAATCTTGCCAGGCGCCGTGGCCGATGTGTAATCCATACACTGGCCAGTACATGGTCACACATGAGAATATGCAGATATCCGCATGTGTGTCTACGCACAGATGTGCTATATGGTCTGAGTCTGAGCTACGGCACGAAACACAACGAAATATTAGTGTACCATACAATCTGATGCTCAATGATATCAGCTTGAAGTCGTGCTTGGACATTGGGAGCTCTGCGCTTCGAGATTCTCGGCCTCCCGTTCGGCCGTGGCTTGGGCCAGGCCTGAGAGAAGGAGAGGGAAGCTGGGGGGTGGGGAGTGGGAACATGATCACAAAGTCGACGACCTTCCTGTCTCGAAGACCTGTGATGCGAAGCTCCCTGTATACGGCGCGGCCGAGAAGCCCTGAAGCCTGGAGATGAGAAGATGAAGGTCGGACAGAGTGCCCCGGAACCTGGGAAAGAGCTTGGGCACTGTCGGATTCTTGGCGGTAGATGCTCGCAAAATCTTCGGGGACAGAGCTCCTGCCAATACCTGCTGAAGCACCAGCGCCGCGCAACAACTGTGAGGCAAGCGTGTTCCTTCTTCAATGCAGAATGACTGAGACCTAGGCGATGGGCGTGTGCAGCAGAAGCATCCCACGAGCGTGCGTGAAAAAAACATCATGGACGTCATTTTACAGTGAACTGACCAACATCTAGGCAGACAAGCACCACAAGACGGGCTTGAAAGGCAGACATCTTGCACGCCATCCTTTTCCAGCCCCTGAGGAAAAACGTGTCGAAACAGCATGGCCCGAGGTATCTACACCCAGAGAGCACAATAGTAGATCCTTTTTGGCATTACCTTATATGGGATTCTATATATGAACCCCCAAAAAGGAACTACTTTGGGCCTTTGTGTATGGCCTAATCACGGCCAAGAGGCGTGGCCGCATCACGGGCAGCCTGTGGAATGTTATGGGCCTCGTCAATGACGACGATGGCATCCTGGCGAAAACCGGACTCAGGGAACCCGAAGAAAAGACCAAGGCTAGGAAAGTCGCGAGCCTGTGCTACTTGTGCTCATCCCGGAAAGTCTCCGACTGGAGGAGACAATGTCAAACGGTGTCAAACGAGCTCCAATGCGACTGGCAGTTCGGAAAAGGCTCCTGCAGTACGGTGCTGAAACTGCTTGTCTCCCGCACACAGGGATCCTCAGCTGCAAGGATTTGTGCTGCACGGCCGAAAATGCTGCGCCTAAACCATGTCGATGGTCCATGCTGATAGACGTACATCGAATCACACTAGAATCCGAACCTGCGCCCGGTGAATCGGGGCAACTCAGCTGTGTGCGACACTTTCGCATGTGTATCCCGCCCCTCCTCCCGGCAAGAAGTCCCAATCCGGATGCTAGGCAAAAAGCCCCGGATCTCCTCCGAACACGCCGTCTGCTACAGTGCACACAAGTCTCAACCCCCCCCCCTCCCCCCGTGATCCCACCATGACAAAGAACCAATCGAAGATCCTGGCCTCTAAATCCAAAGTTCGAAACTAATACCGAAGATTCTCTCGTTTAACGGCCATGACAATCGAAGGATTTTGCCAAGTGCAGCGAGTGAGCGATCTCTCTGCTTCTTTGCATGCCCGGCGGCTAAAAGCTGCGGATATGTCGCAAGGACAAGACCTGCTCCCTCAGCCGTCCTTGGCTCAAGCTGCGGTTTGTGCTTATTGCCTAGACTATATTGGGGATTGGGGACTCCTTATTATGGTTATAGCCTAGTATACCACAGAACCCTGTTTTTGCCAGTCAACAAGGCCTCTATCTCGCCTGTACAGTTTACTGCAGTCAGTGGCGAATAATAACCATTGAGGCTTTACATCGGGATATAGACCCTAAACCCTAAACCCTAAACCCGGAAGAAGGAAACCATCAGAACACACGCCCATGTGCTGGCACTCTGCAGGTCCAAAGCGGCATGGTATGGGCAGGTGTGGGTCTCGTGGCCGTCCTGCACGTAGCAAGTGGGAGTTTCCGAAAATTAGGGGTACCTCATTTTGGGGTCCTTACAATTAGGATCCCACTATTTAGGGTTCTGCATTAGGGTCCCCTATTTTCGGAAACTGCCAAGTGGCAAACATGTGCAGGAAGACTCTCTGGCAAAAGCTGGACGATGCACAGGCCAGGGAGTTGGCAAAGGTATCAATGTCCCTGGGCACTACGGGAGTTCATTACTGAAGCACTACTTTCTAGCACGAAGTCTCTGCTGGTGCTGCAAATTGAATCCTCTGGCCGGAAACGTTCCCGTCTCCGTGCAAAAAGACAGACACTGGCTCCGACACGTGAAGTGCCCGCTCTCACACTCATGCACCAACACAAGGCATATCTATATATGTATATATAGATATATAACTAGCCGGCCATCTTATCCAACTGTCGGCGTCTCTCCCCGATTTGCAGGCCTGCCTTGACTAAGTCCTCGATGTCGTAGACCGCTAGCCTTAGTCAAACGGGACATGTCGCGACTCAGTGCTAATCCTCAGTGCGTGCTTGTCGCAGTATCTAGAAGAACAACAAGACAAGACAAGAATTCATTGGCCAAGCAGCTTCCCTCCTGCCTCAAATTTCGACCGATGCTCTTTGATCGTCGGGTAACCGATTGCTTCCTCAGCTATATTCGGCATGAGCCGTGTTCCATGTATAGACATCTCAACACTTCAACACCTCAAATCTGGGTGGTGTGGCCAGCAGCTGGAATCAACCTCACCTGCTGCTGAAATCTATGCGCATCGTCAAATTACTGGTCGATCCAGCAAAAGCTCTGCTCGCGCGGAGTGGTGACATCAATGTACCCATCATCGTAAATCATACTTGTCGTCTTGTTCCTGGTCCTCTACCTCACCCTCGCCCTCATCATCATTATCACCACCATCATCATCATCATCATCACCATCCGTGTCACCATCGCCATCGGCACAACCCCACGAGCACCCGAGCGCAGCCTGGTCTCGGCGTTGTCCAGATGCTCACATCCAGAAATGCCTCCTCCCAAGGCGCTGCCATTTCGAGTCCTAAGAACACGACGACACCATGGACACGCCGTTTCAGGATCGACTCTCCTCGTGTATGCGGGGCTGCGAGGACCATGGAAATACAATGCAGTCACTGGCGCTCGCAACTGAAAGAATAGGTAGGTTTAGATCAAGGAACATGGTCGCCATCTCGCACGCCGTCGACTTGTCTTGCGCCTGGGCTTCTCAAAGGCGAAGGACGTTGTCGTTTGAAAGCTTGATACGCCAGCATACACGACCCCACAGCAAGCTCATGCAAGCTCACCCACTAAACTCGCAGACTGAGCTGAGCTACGGAATGGTCGGAATTCTGGCATGCAATGAGACGTCGACGTCAGCCTAATCGCATCAAGAACGAAAGTTGTTAGGAAGTGCTGCTCGGGCACTGCCTGCACGAACGGGTGCAAGCAAAACCGCTCGCGAGAGATTCCTGAGTATTGATGGCATAGTGTTCATACAGTTATTGCTGCGAATGCTCTAGACGATCCAATGCTGCGGAGAGTGAACCTGTGGGCACTAGTAGTGCCCGCTTGTCCATCGCTGCAAGCTTTTGCATATGTAGGCATTGAAGAATGTTCGCGCCTAACAGGGAAGTCCTTGAGCATCACGAGCTTGAAGCCCATTGCAAAAAGCACAGCTGTCAGTTCCGAGTTCCGAAATGCTGATGTTAGCACCCAGCTCGAAAGACCATCCTTGTCTCATGGCCTATATAGCATCCGTCACAGGTCTCATTCGTGCCAGCTGAGAGGCGTAACGCTTCAAGCGGACGGTAGGGAACTCTCCTGGAGATGTGAATGTCAGACTGCCGGCTGGATACTACATGCTATGAACACCTCCTGCTGCAACCCTAATTCAATTCCGGACGTCTATGTCTCTGCTACATGAGTATCTGGCTCAAGGGCCAACCCAATTTTCGACTCGAAAAATGTTAGAGGGCTGTGCTGCATCAGCATCACGTGAAAGCCGGAGATCCTCAACTCTCCAACGGCATGCTGCAGCCTGAGTCGAAGCCACGACAATGCCATGGAACAGACTGACATGTCTTACTTTGTCTTCTACAGATACCAGCAGCAACATCACACGACAACCACAACCACCACCACAACAACAACAATCGCAACATTACGACTAACGCTACCAGTACCAGAATCACTACTACCCCTACTACTGTCGCAACTTGCTACTGCTACCGCTACTGCTAGTACTGCTAGACTGCTAGTACTGCTACTACCACCATTACTACTACTGCTGCTACTACTACTACTCCTACTACTACTACTACTCCTACTACTACTACTACTACTACTACTACTACTACTACTTCTGCCTCTGCTTCTCCTATTACTACTGCTACTATTACTACTGCTACTGCTGCTACTACTGCTACTGCTCCTACTGCTACTTCTACCACTACTACTGCTACTGCTGCTACTACTACTGCTACTACTACTACTACTACTACTACGACGACCACTACTACTGCTGCTACTACTATTCCCACTACCATCACGATGACTACTGCGACTGCGGCTACGGACCACTCACGACGCTGCCTATGTCGATAATCCGTTCTTCCTTGAAGGATCTGCTGGTGAACACATACCGAACCCCACGTTACAATCACTGCGCATGTATAACCGCTACTCTGTGCTTGAACCTTCGGGAACCTGCCGTGGGGGTCCGGTTTTTGGTGTTGCTTCAGTTGATGAACCTGCCTGCCGAACATCTGAAGGCTTCAGAAATTCAGAACCCTCATCATGAGCAGACGAGCGTCTGGTCGTGCGTCCGTGCAATCCAGACAACTCGGGGAACGTGCCTAGTCCGAGAGGCAACAGCGGCTGAAGCGCTCAAAGCAGAGGCAAGGCTCGCAAATTGGATGAAGTAAACATACCAGGAGGCTGACGACCCTATGAGTGGAACGAGGGCCTGGAAGACCGATCGATCCGTCTGTCGCAGAGTTTCAGATCGTAACCGTCTCCGACAAAAGCCAAATTTTAAGGGTTGTTGAGGAGACATGGGAGTTTCCGAAAATCGGGGTACCTTATTTAGGGGTCCCTATAATAAGAATCCTACTATTTAGGGTACTATATTAGGGTCCCCTATTTTCGGAAACCCCCACATAAATTTGCGGTTGAAAAGACTCATGGGTGGCCCGCGTGACACAGGCCCGTCACAACACGAAGGTCCTCGCCCTGACCGTCTGGCTGCACTTCCCACTGCCCCGGCATCCGTTTGTTACATGAGGTGTCAACCCAAAGCAACTTGCTAGAATAAATCTCTCACTGCACAACGTTGCACAACACTGCATGTAATATGTCTCTAGCAAACCGTCATTGCATGAAGTCAACTGCAGCCCAGATTCGTGTTGCCTTCGCTGGCGCTCCCTCCCTGGACGACACAGACGTGAACTACTGTAGAGGCTTTCAAGGGATCCTTAAGGGTTCCTTTAAGGGATCTATAGGTCGGGTTTAGGGTTTAGGATAGGGGCCTTAATAATTCAGCTTTGGGGAGCTGTGAGACCCACGCACAGCAGGCGCTTCTGGATGCTGGACTGATTGAATGCTGGAGGAAGACATCTCGACATTGATGATTGCTTGTTCCTCCTGATTTCTGCAGGAGGTCGCAAGAAGCGAAGTAAGTTAAAACAACGACACAAGTAATTATCTATACCCCCTGACAATTCACTGACGAAAGTAGTATCCCTCCAATGGTAACGGTCGGGGACTCGAATGGTCCAGGGCTTAGGGGTGTCATCCCTATATTCTTTACGCTTGAGCTCGCCGTCTACCGTCCAGCTCCCAACGCGCCGTAAACTTGCACTATCCCTCCGTTTTCTAGTATTGTAGTATTATAGTAGTATTATACTAGTATTATGGTATATGGTACTATAGTACTATAGTTCGGTTCTTTTCCATCCAGCTGGAAACTGGTGCATGTAGCCGTGCCATGCTGCGACTCTGTGTTCCGAGCTCAGTGTGAGTCCGGTGAATCTTTACGCGGGCAGTGTAATCCCACAGCGGTAAAGCTCTTACACCGGATGCCCACACTTGGCCACTCCCACTTGCTACAATTTGGCCTGCCGGATGGCTAAGAGTTGCCAACCTTCAGGCTTCAAAGGACGTCATGGTTTTTGGGAAGCAGGCTCTGCTTGTAAATCAAGATTGCGAGCAAGCGAGAGACGGAGACTTCAGAGTGTACAGACTTCATAATTTGATCTTGTCTTCAAAACTGGACTGAAAACCCCTCGGACGGCCTACGCACAAACCTGTGCGGTTGCGGAAAGTGTGCGCAAAGGCTGAGTGAAACGACTAGCACCCCTCGCTGTCTGCCGAGCACATGTGCCGCGTAATAACTAGATATCATCATCCGAGTCTGACATATCGTCAAGGCTGCATTGCGGCATCCGCTTGCGACGCTCCGTCTGATGGTCGACCTGTTCCCTGCTGCCATCCTCGCATCTTCGCACCTCGAGGCGTTTGCTCATGCCTGGGTCGCTGCTTCGAAGGAAGAGAAAGAGGACGTGCTTATGACTTGCGGGGTCCCTTTTCAGATATCAGGAAACCCACACCAAAAAGCAACAACAAGTAAGAAGGATCGACCAAGGTACCCTTCACTCGGGTTTGTGGCTGGAGACCCTCGCGGCGGATGAGTGTGTGGTCATCCCTGTGCACAAAGCACCAGCCAAGCGGCGACATGTCCACTCGATATGGCACCTCTTTCGGGTACTCCCCCGTGACGCCCTCGATCTCCCACTGAAGCTTCCCTGGTAAGGAAGGCCACAAATCAGTAACACATCCGGAAACCCAACGTTCCAGTCCATCCGGTCCGTTCTTGAGGCGAATGGCTACCTTGTCGCCCTCAGTGAATCGGAGCTGTGGTTTTGCAGAGCCTGCCAACCGTGTGGCGGCGCACTTTACAAAGTGCAGCTCGGAACTCGGGTTGAAGCACACCTCCTGGACACAAACCTCGTCGCGGTCATGTGGGACGGAGATTGTCCTGGAAGGCAAGCCTGGGATCGGGTCTGTCTTCACGACATAAGGCAAAAGGTCCTGATCGTCTTCCACTGCTGAGCCTACGATCCACCCGGAGATCCAAAGCTGGCCGCAGTTGCACAGCACGCGATCGCCCTGCTCGAAGCGCAGAGTCTTTTTGAATTCCTCAATCTCTTCCTTTGTGAAGGGATCCCTCTGCTGTGCTGACATTGCCTGACACTGAACCATCACCACGTCGCCATCTCTGAAATATCTGTGTGCTGGCTCTTGCCAGGGGAGATACTTGTCTGGCCTGTAAGCAGTTGTGAGATACTGGGACTGCACCATGATTTTGTCCATGCCCTGTGTCGAGAGCTCATAAATCCTCTCCACGCGCGTTTCTATCCAATTGCCCATGTCTTCGATGGTGACCGGCACATCCGGAAATTGCATGATGACCAGCTCTTCCTCATTCCACCTTATCCGATAATTGTCAAAGAGCTCTTTCGTCTCGGGACACCACTTGACGTAAACGCTTATCGAGTCCGGCAGTGCTTTCGTTTTTCCCTTGCCCTTGTCGATCGTTGCGGACATCCCCGGCGAACAGTCACTATACTGCGGCAGAAAAACTGCTGGGCTGAGACCCACGGAACACTGCGGAACAGATCCATTTGCTCATAAGCATCTGGAGTATACTACAGTCGTTCGCAAATCCTAGATTTCACACATGCTGTGCGAATATTGTCTTCTCTGGCTGGCTGTCGCTCTGTCTCTTTCTCTCTCTCACTCTCTGCTTGAAGATAGCATATAAAAAGCCTTCTGCAGCCCCCAGGAAACCCAAAACAGGTGGTGCTTTGGCTGCCTCAAAGTCCGTACATGGCCGAAAACTTAGGAGGCAGGCTTATGCGTGGCAGGTTACGGCGCTTGTATGCCGTCACGAACTCATTCAATGCCACTGCAAGTCACAACAGTGAAAAGCCGATTGCGTGGACGAGCCCGAAACTCTCTCGACAATCTCTCTGATTGCTAACATCTGCCATCCCTAGTCGATCTGTGCCCTTGCAGTAGGTCCCCCAACAAGGCCTCGGCAGACTTTTGCTGGCAGAAGTGCTGGTAGGCCAGGCTTGCTGACAACAAAGCCAGGGTCTTGCCGGTGCCTTGTCAGGCAAGGAAGGCCGTCTGCATCCCGGAGCATAGTGAAGCTCGCAGTGCTCTGGCGGGCTATGCGGAACATGAAGGATGCAGGCTCTAACAGTGCAGCAAGCTGAATGTACAGTTACAGGACTCAGCTGCATTTATACAAGATGTTGCCCACGCTTCCGATAATCAAGCACACGCAAAGCAAAGCACAATAAAACTGCCCCACCAAACCTGTCGGGCTTTCGACGAAGGCCACGTTCCGCTCCAACATGGCACGCACAGCCGCTGCCATGACGAGACGTTGGGCGTCGAGGGGTTGAACCGGGAACATCACGTCCACGCCTTCTACCTGGGGCATTTGTGTGTTATTTGCGAACTCATCAGTCAGTATGGATCAAGGTGTCGGAGCCTCAACCGAAAATCCTGGCAAGAAGCAAGCACCCATACTGTGTTCTTGATGATTGAAGTGTTGACTGATCGCGTTTGGGCATGGCCTCGTCGGCACTTGCAGAACTCATCTGTAGTTTTGTTGTTTGATTTCGGCTGCATGTTTCGGCCGAACAGAGTAGGCATGGCCGCAGAATGTATGAAAACGAGTTGAACATGCCACGAACAAGTCCCAATGCAATGATGCATGGCATAAACACCTAACCCAGAGAAATTCATCTCCAAGCCGCTTCGGTCTTCGTGCACAGCCGCTCTATGCCGACGTCGTAGCCCACTACAGGAGGCGGCAGGGGCCGGTCTCCGGATCTGCAGGCGCAGCCAAGAAAGCCATTATCAACACACAAACATGTGTCAATCTCGATGGACAAAAGCTCGCGCAAATGTGATATATATATATATATATATACAAATATATGCAATGTAAAACATATATATATATATATGCACTTGTACAAGCGACTGCACCAAGTTGAAATGTTGTATACAGCAGTGACAAAATCGGCATTTATGTGGAGCTGCAAACGGTTGCTTGATTATGAGTACAACGTATTATATATATATATATATATACATATGTGTGTTTTTGCGTGTATGTATATATCTACATATCTGTATATATACACATATACACATATACATATACAAATATCATATGTATATAAAAAGTTGGTACTCCACATGGGCATCAACTTCTGCGAATGCCTTGAAGGGACAATCGGTGCTGTCAGGTTTGGGCAACATTGCTGTACTAACGAACCTCTCAAGGCATAATTCCGAGGTCTTTTGGGCGGTGCCCTGGCTGAGCACGAGCGCTATACCACCGAGAATACCAAAACTCGGGCTTCAGGGGCTCAAGGAACAGCGCATAAGGAGCTGTTCGCCGCTTGGTGTCCATTTCTGGCTGCCGACAACTGCTTGGCTTTTGGCGAGACTCCAGCAAGAAGCAAAACAAGTGGTGGCAAATATTCTCTGTGCGGTTGATGCTGCAGCATCTGTCGCAACAAAAACAGTGAACTTTGCAGACTGGGGCAGCAGGGCTTGATAGTCTCTGTGTTATAATCCTTGTAACACCTGCAACAGTGAACGCATTAAAGGCCAGACTTCAACATCCAACCGCTACATCACCACTCCAGTCCTGCAAAGCCCATCCTGCTGCAACCACAACTAGTTCGACTATTGCACTTGCGATTGCCGGGAGTACCCCAAATCCCAAAGTTCCGGGTCGCCTGAGGTCGGCGTTGCGCTCGCGCCTCTCCCGCCGCTTTGCGATGGCCTCCTGCGCCGTTAGGCGACGAGGCCTCCGCGGGGGCTTCTGGTACAGAGTCCAGGGGCTTATGGTGTAGAGTCGAGTTAGTGTTGCAGGGGTTCAAAAGCTTGTATGTTATGGTGCCGGCGCTCGCTGCATAGGTCTGAGCGGTGCAAACCAGAAAGGCCAGCAAGTAGACCAGGACAAGATAAAGCAAGCCCAAGACTTCCTCAAATGATCGATTCCATTGTGACAACGCGGCTTAATTCCGGAAACCTACAGCACGATCATAAACTCAACCCCGCCATTTGACAAGGGCAAGGCACAGAGGTAGATTGAAAACAACGTCCCATGTCAAGTCGCTGACGAAGTAACGCTACGTGTCCCACGGGGCTTCCGCGCTCTCGGACTCTCGAGGCGAGGTATCTGTGGAAATAGGGTGTAGGGTTTCGTAGGGTAAGTGTGGGTAATTAGCCAGCATCCCGGAGGAGTGGCGAATCTAGGAGGGAGAGACACAGCATGCGGATAAAAGCCTGAGAAAACCGAGCTTTCGGATAGCTCTACGTCTGTGCAGATGTTGGACGATGGGTTTGCTGATTCAGTGGGCCCAGGCATTCTCCCCGTTTCTGGACGTGAAACACAAACCGTCAGGATACGTGTGGAAGCTCACGATGTTTCAACTTCCACATTCCGCGTAAAGTGGAGCCTCGGTAGGGGCCAAGTTGTGCGGATCGCTTACCAAAGAGGAGTCCTGCAGGGTGCATCGTTGCCCGGCAGCCTTTTCGTTGGCTTGTGCCGGATATGGCAGGAATAGCGCTCGTTTGGGAAATCCCGAGGCCATTCGACATCATGGCATTGCGGCGTTGTCACTTGTAAGAGGAACGCTTATAGTAAGTAGAATAGGGTTTTAGGGCCCGTTATGCTACTGTATAATTATCTTATAATCAGGAACCACCAAAATATGGGTAGCTACTATGGCCCCTATAATAATTATTACAGTAGGAACCCCTATAGGACCCTAAAGCAACCCTTGGAGGAGCAGCTCCTCTTGCCAGCTGCTGACTGCAGGGAGAGAGTCCAGGCCTCTTCGACGTGCCCTCGGCCGCCGAGTGAGCCCAGTGCAGCAAGCTGGACTGGCGGCTGCGTGGTGCACCGACCTCGAGGCAAAGCTCGAGCATTTAGGCATCAATCGTGGAATCAGCAGATGCAGGAGCAGCAACACCAGTATAGTAGCAGCCAGCTCAGTCATTTTTGTGCGCCGTCGTTGTATCTGCTGACGCTGATACACGATATGCATTTTGCTGTTGTTGCCGTCGTCGGTGTGGAGGCAGGTACACCGTCCCATGCCATGTCAACAAACGGCTTCGAATTCCGAAGCTGAGAGCATTGCGGCACACACGGACTTTCAGCTGCCTCTTGCGGTGGCAGGTGGCTGGAGGTAGCCGTTCTCCTGGCAACTTACTTGCAGATATCAAGCCAAGGATTCCTGCTGGTTCTTGCACGGGCCTGGCAGGAAGTGGTGGCGGTGTCGGGACTTCTTCAGCGCATCGGAGCGCCCTCTTGACCTGCACATCTCACGTGAGCATGACAGGTCCAGGCTTGCTAATGACTTGTATTCAAGACAACCACCCCAACAGTCAGATCAAGTAGCCTTGCAACCTTCTACTTGCGCTAATGTGGAACACTCTGAGAGAACGCCTTCGCGTCTTCTCACGTCAGTTCCTGGTGTCTGGCACATGGTTCCCCTCTCTTTCCGAGGTGCCGGAGTCTCGGGGTCGGAGGTGATATCGATAACAGCTCCGCCATGGTCGTCCTCTCGGCAGTCACTGTCCTTCGAACAGGCAGTGCTTCAACTTGCATGTGAAATCTGACGACTCAATCCTCTACAAGACGCCATGTGCTATAGCTCGAGGTGGTGGTGCAGGACAGATCGAAACCACACATCTCTGTATCGCTTTGCAGGCCTCGTCCAAGTCTGTCGGTGCCACACTCGGGCTTCGCGGAGCCACGACAGAGAGCATCCGCAATCATCCCAACGTGGAGGGTTTTAGCTGTATCGATGGAGGAGCGAGAGAAATCTCCCAGAGCCCTCGTCGAATTCTCTACTGCTGGCATTGTTGCCACCTCAGTCTGGGTAGTAAGGCCGTCTCGGAAGCTTCAGCTTCCTTTCCCTGGCGGGTTGTTTAGTGCAGCTTGGAAGTTTGATGCGGGATCACTCGAGCACTAAACACCCGACACTACCATCAAGAGATCCTGAGGTGAGCCAGCAATTCACCAGCAACAAGCGCATGTGGCAAGCAACACCGGGATCTGCCGACACAAGCAAAGCCCAAACAAAGCAAGCGAAAGGAAGCCGGCAAAGCCTATCTGCAAAGGTGTGGGGAGTTCGAACTTGCCGGCACATGGCTGTCCGTAGGATCGAACTCTACATTCTCAACATGTGTCGCACTTAGCAGACGGCAGGCTGGGTCGCTAATATGCAAGCTATAGTTTATGAGCTGGATGCGGACAAACTCCAACCCATCGTCAGATACTTCGAAGTCTGTATTATCACAGAGTGACACTGGGGCTTACATGACAAGTCTCCCTAGCAATATCTGTTCAGCTTTGAGCCGGATAGCGCGGCGAGCTATACTGCGCAATGCCGCAGCGATCCTATCTTGAAGCGTCCACGTCCCGGACACAACTGCAACCGCAGGTTTAGGGGTTAGTTTTTTGAGGGTTAAGGGGCTCTAAGCATGAGGGGCTTGGGCAATCCACGAGCTCTCTTTCGACCAGCGACCCCTGGCTGGCGCAAACTCCGCGAGGAAATCCGACCAGGGTGAGGCTTCCTCTGTCTCTGTTACTCATAGGCCCCATGGTAGTTCCTTTTGGGGATTGCCTTGTAGGGTTCTAACCCCAGAGAGGAACTACTATGGGGCCTATATGGGTAGGTTACACGGGTTTGGATGGTCATCTTCGAAGTGATAGCGTGGCATGTCGCTGTTGAGAAGCCTCGATCGTACATCATCGCAACCTGCCGAATAATATCCTGAGCTTCAGTTGCTGGCAGTGGTCGTGACAAGACTTTGAGATAGGGATATGAGGAAGCGTGTCAGCTGCACAATTCCGTATGGCACATACTGGTAAGGTCGGTATGCTTCACATCTGGTCCCGCTTTAAATCCATACAGTATTACATGGATTGTCGGCAACTGACGCCTGAGAAACTCCTGAGCGACATGCACTCTCGAACATTCCATGCCACTTCGTAGGTTTGTAGGCAAGCGCGCGGCGCAACGAGCACGAAAATATGCTCGTGGTAGCTCGGCGCAAAGAGACTCGAGGCCCAAATGAAGAGATCTAAACACCGGAAACCATCGACGGCAAGGATGAACAGCTCCGGGCGCCCAGAAGGTCCCAGCGCTTGAGATGCAGCGAGGCATTAGCACTGTGGCATGCCCGACATTTACGCTTTATGTGAGCTCTTCCGGTTCTTGCCCGAGTCTCTCACGTGAGGGCATGATCTAATTACAGGCTCGGTGCGAGCGGTGAAACCAAGCCGAGGAGGGCAGCTCGGCATGAGTACGGCTGAGTCGTGAAACGTTTCGATATCTGAAACCATCTGAGACAACACCTCAAAGCTTTGCATCAATGTCCTTCAGGGATCGCAAGCTTGCCTCGGGACCTATTTTTTAGTTCCACTGTTCCACTGCCACGGTACATGGGAGCCCTTGAATTCCTGGTGAGCTTCTGCGCAGCGCTGCGTATCTGCATCCTAGGATCGAAGGCAAAAAACCTGATACAGTCGAACTTGCACTTCTACATGGAGCCTGAATCGCCCTGCCTGATAACCCGAAGACGCAACACTACAATCACTACAAACTGAAAACTTTGCTGCCTGGTTCAGTTGGAGACTACGGCATTTCCAAGCCAACCAACCAAACATCTAACACCTGGCTGGAAGCACTGCGGATGAAGCTCGTGACTTAAGGATGTTGCACTGGTGGCTGCTCCTAAAAAACTCAATGCAGGGTCCGGACTGCTGCTATTCCCCATCCCACTACTACAACTACTCACTGACCGTTCCAACTCCTATGCATGCTAACTCGCACTCGGTGTTGCTCAGGGTTTTTGTCACTCCGGTTGCTACAATATCGCTCTTCTGCGTGCCATCGAAGCCCGGACTCCACAGCTCTTGCACGGCTCTGCACTCTGGTTCATCTGCAGCTTTCCCACCTCGGCAACAGTTGCAACACTGACTGGTTCTAGGCTCCAGCCTGCAAAACGAGCTCGGTCCAGGAGCCTAACACGACGAAGGGTTTAGGGCCTGCGTTTAGGGGCTTTCTTTTCTAAGTTACTAAGTGTCCCTTTTCCGTCTCGCGACTCACGAAATCCGGGAAGCGATGTTCCGTTGGGTGTAAGTTCAGAAAAAACACTTCGTTCCCGCATCGGTAGTACACGAGCTTTCTCTCCTGCATTCTTCATGGCCTTCAGGTTCCACTGGTTCGATCGGGTCAGGTTCATCATTTGCTGCGTTTTCACCCTTGGGAACCGGCGCACTCGGTAGGACCTCCGTTCTACAGAAGAGGGAAGAGACTTCCATGATCACACCCCCGACGCTGCTCAGCCACGATCCTCCCGAAGCCTGTTGCATTCCACATTCTGCTTCTGGTACTGCTGTATCAGGAACTGTTGCTTGGGGGCCAACATCAAGTGCAAGTGGATTCGCAACGATCCCGCCCCCGGAGCCGTCTTCTCTGTCTTCTGTTCCACCATGGTCTCCCTGCTTTAGGGGGCTTTTTTTTCCCTCCTACCTAGCAAGGACGAAGCCCGCATTGCAGGGTGTCTCAGAAGAACAGTTGTGGCAACAGCTGCTTATGTACAAGACGTTCAGGGGGCTTGGGGTTTAGGGTTGTCTCCGAATCCAGGAACTCCGACGCCGTCTCTGCCAAGGCGCAGAGTGAGTATCGCAGCTGGCTGATGGACCTGCTAGCCACGCGGCTGCCACCTGGCTGCAGGAGAATCTCCAAGCGGGATGGCAGCACTCCCACCAACCCATTTATGCGGCAGCGCTATTCCCATATTGATCGGGGACAGGCTCTGCAGAATCATTCCCGTCCGACGTGCCTGCGGTGCTGCCCGGTCTGCTCCTTGTACTTGCCTGGGAAGACAGATGGGCTGCTGCACTGTCGATCGCAGCTTCCCTGCACCCCGCGAGCGTGTCACAAACTCTTGTCGAACAGCTTTGAGAACGAGCCTTTGTTGAACTCTAGTGTTCAGACACCGCTGAGAGCGAGAAAAGTTGTCAACGCAGGTCGAGGCAATTCTGGGCTTTCCATGTCCAACAGGGTTTCCTTTGATCCGTGTGCATGCAACTATACCGGAAATCGTAGATGGGTTGCTGGTAATTAAGATCTACCTTCCACGACCACGGCCGTTTTCACACACTCGCAGTTCCCGAAAGGGCCCTTCGTCGGATAGTAGTGCCTCTGACCCGGCTTGACCGAACAGCTTCCGATGATTTTGGCTCCCGCATGGCGAGTCTGGCGACTGCATTGCAGGTAACACGTGGGCGACGGGCGAGAGGCGGCCTATCGTCAGCGAGGCTCCGTTCCTCCCCAAGTCTCGAGGGCGGACGCATCCCCCGATAATCCGTAGCTGCACTAAACCACACGATGATAAGTAAGCCTACATGCGCAAGTACCACGCCCGTTCACCAGAACTGTAGAAATCATACTACCTTATCCTAGATAATCATATACTCTAATACAGTATCTATTATGTTGAACTGTATGTGTTGGAATATATATATAT